GGTGTTCTTGATTAAGCAGTACACAAGGAAGCTCTTTGTTTTACAAGTAATTCCTTTAACTTCCTTATAAGGTGAGGGTTGGAGCACATGTAATCTTGGAAAGATACCCTTATACTCTGCAACAACTTTTGGTTGTAATCACCTGGCGTGATATTAAGCAACTTTGTGAAGAGATTCTTCCACAGTTCAATGTTCCAATACCTATTGAATGTGATTCAGAATTTAAGCACAACATAATTTTTTCAATTTTGCAGGACACAGAAAAACCAGAACACAGACAATTAAAGACGCCAGAATGGTAATTTATACCGCTTGAAAGATGTTTTGGGTAGATAAATAAAGCTAGCATTAGATGATGTTTTCTTATCAACGTCCATGTAGGAACCATGAAGCATAGTGTGGACGACTACACAGAGGCCATATATGTAAAAGTGTAACTTACAAAGATTTAACCATTTATATAATCAGGTTCTATAAATGGTCTACATGCATACTGATCCTTTATGAAAATATCGAGCCGGTAGATTTAGGTTCGGGATTGGGCTAAATTTGGGCCGACGACGAGGCTGACTCAAAGCACCCAAATTATTTCTTCTTGTATTATTCCATCTGGGCTGTAACGCCATCATTTAAGTCGGGTCACACACGCGTCCACGATGGTGGAGTCAAGGGGGCGTCCCTCCCGCCCGCGATAAAAACAAAAAAACAAAAAACAAAGGAACCCGTACGCTCCGATGGACAGGACAGGACTCAGGACTGTGCCCAAGAATCACACGCTCAACGGAGCACCACCATCATCCACAATGCGCCGGCAAACGTATCGAGTTTGTAGTGGTCCAAAAGCTTCAAGGCTCCATAGTTTGACTCCGACCCAATCACAGCGCCGAACCCCTCCTCTTCTCTTCGGACCTACCACCACAGCCTCAGTCGCTGTTGCAGCAGGCCCCCACCACTCACGAGAAAGCTCACGCATCATAATTCATACATTAGGTATGTGTAGGTGTAGAGAGAGAGATTGGGTTTTGATTTTTGAACATTCCTCATCGACTCCCCCTTTGTACGACGCTACCAACAGCTGCGTATACAGACACGGATTCAGGGAAACAAAGCCAGAGAAAGATAAAAGGCGCAACTGTGCTTGTGGTCCTTG